CAATCAAAAGAAAACGCGTAATCAAACGTAATCAAAATAATCAAAATAATAATAAGAAATGATAATAAAATAAATAAAATCAATAAATAATAATAATAAAAAAGAAACACGTAATCAAACTTTTCCATGGGATGTGTATTTCCCCCGAATTTCTTGTGGGAGAGAATCGGTGAACGTGCAGCCCCTTCCACAGATCCTGATCCACTCTCGGCTGGGAATGAAGACGCTTTGTCATATCCGCTTGCAACTTGTGCACGTCGTAAACAGTAACAAGTAAATATTTGTGGCTACTAGTGATTCTCCGAGGCTAAAGTGACGGAATTAGACACAGAAGTCTTTTAAACAAGTAGATAATAGGAATGGGCAGTGTGAATGCTGTACTAAAATTACTGCAGTTGCGAACGTTGATCCCATTAATGTTTTGATAAAACCTGCTAACTTATACTTTAAAAGTTAATGTATATGGCTGTAAATAGTTTTGCACCAGCCACTAAAACAAAAACGTTTTCATTCGATTATTACCAAACTCACAAGATTTAGCAACCTTTGGTAAGCGAGTTAATGCGTAGGTAAAACTGAATTCATTTATTCTTGTTATGTAATTGACAAAGTTACAAACCTTTTTTACAAATGTTCACATGAAGTATAACTGCATTTGATTTAGTGACTTTCACATTTGTTGCAGGAACTATAAATTATATGAAATGATAACACAAAATTCAGAAGCACTGTTATTGACGGGATTTAAGTAAGATAAAAGATATATATGAAATACATATTTTTACACATTAGATTTAAGATAAATTTAAAGTGCAAAATGGCAGTATACAGTTGCATCATATTTCATTTATCACCCAGTTATTCTATCAATCATTCAACCTGTCTTAAAGAATTTATCAATCAGCATCCACCTATCAATACTCATTTCCTTCCTTACTCTAGAAAGGAAAGAGAGTAAGAGACAGGAATTGAGGGGGGGGGGGGGAGGTCGCCTGGACTGTGACATGCCGTCCAGAAAGCGGAGGAGAAGCTTGTGATCTCAACCTTAAATGGATTAAAAATCAAGGAACGGACTGCGCATTTATATACAGCATGGATATATGATGAAAATGGAAGGTGCATGTTTTGAATATATATATATATATATATATATTATATATATTATATATTATATATATATATATATATATATATATATGTTTATGTATGTATATGTATATATATGTGTGTGTATAATATAACACACAAATATAAATATAAATATGCATACATGAACATATATATATATATATATATATATATATATATATATATATATATATATATATATATACATATATACACACACACACACACACACACAGATATATATATATATATATATAATATATATATATATATATATATATATATATATATATATATGCACTAGTAACTGAAATATCAAATTTCTTTCATAACTCTATCAACAACGAATTTAGGTCTACAATGAGAAGAGAAGACAGTGAAGCACAAGAAAACACGAACAGGAGAGTCAACCTTACCAGTGCCTGTTGATGCGACCTTCTTCGAACGTGTGGACAACGTGGTTTAGAAATTCCGTAAAAGTCACACTCGAACGCAGTCGCTTGTCCTTGGCGTTAAGCGTTGTCACCGACCTCTTCGTCTTGTCTAGGAAACTGAAAACATTTTGGTGGAATTAGCATGATTGCAGCCCTTAGAACACGTGCATGGTTGTATGCTACGACGGGAATTGGTATAATAATAAGGCCAGTGAGACGCCCATGCAGTACACCATGTTATTACAAGACGAGAAGGTATATTCTGTACGTTTCTCACTTTTTCCAGGCGGTGGAATGTTGAGACTTGAAAACCAAACCGTTGCTTAGAAGCGCCGGAAACAAGAACTCCTCCAAGACTTTCTGAAGAAGAACAGTTTCTCAGTAAGGTTTGTTAGAGCCTATGGAGATCTTCTCCCTGTAAATAGATAAGACTAGTCCTATTTACACTGGTCAGAAATTGCGAGCCGACCAAAGATAGGATTTTGCGTATCCCCTCCCCCTCCCCCCCTCTCCTCTCTCTTCTCTCCTCTCTCTCTCTCTCTCTCTTCTCTCTCTCTCTCTCTCTCTCTCTCTCTCTCTCTCTCTAACTGATTAATGGTACAGACTACAATGTATGCCTTGCAAACAATTATTTTGGTCCCCTTTCATGCATTCAATATCTATAAAGTAACTGGTGCGTGCGTGTGAGGTCCCTATTATAACGGCCAATGGACCTCTTTGGAACCCGCCTGCTAACTGAGGCCCTGGTGCCCGTATGTATGTGTATTGTTTCCCCTTCCGAAATATGTTGTATTTTTGACGTGTGTATACAACGCGGAGTGGGTATATATATGTACTTACTTTCTTCCTTTCGGGAAAATTCGATCCATTTCGAAACTTGTCTTGGTAGCATGATACTAAGCGGGTTAACGGATGCCTGTTGGGAGGATAGCTTTCTTAATGTTGGCGCAGCAGAAATATAAGAATATGAAGATATAGATTCATTTTCTTTTCCCAGAGATAAAGGAAAATACTTATTTAATAAATGGAAATGTTTATTTAATGCATATTGGGGATTAATCCTGAAATATCACGGTATCTTCTGAAACATTTGTTTTTAATCGAGTGTCTGAATGCTGCCTTCCAGTGAATTATTTTCTAATTAAAGGTTATTAGTTTCCTAAGACTCACCTGACGGAAATCCATCTGGACACTGATCTACTGTAGTCTATCACCTGCTGCCAAGGTTTCCTGAGGAGATTGCGGCGTCTGCTGTCATGCATGGGATGGCCACGTAATTCATTGACTCTTTGTGCATGGGAACGCCAGGTACCTGAGCTAACCTAATTAAATGCAGGAGGTTTAAACTTTCCAGAACAATTTTCCAAGACATGAACTGTTTCGGATAAAAAAAAAAAAAAAAAAAAAACTTACTATGGGATTTTTTTCTTTTTCTTTTTCTTTGCAAAAAAAAAATAATCATGCAAACTTGCCAAGTTTTGCATAGCGGTACAACTGACCTTCCCCATGGTGCAAATACTGGCGTTATAATTCCAAAAGTACAAGACACGTGTATTGATGGTGCACACGACGTCCTCCTTGTTCTGCAATGTTCGACAGGTCCTGAGCACTCTTTCCCGGCGACTTCGGAAGCGGTCTTCTACAAGTCCTTGCCTCTCAGACGTCCCAGATCTGAAACTGCTGTCTGCATATCCATGTCTGTACAAGATGTTCAGAGTGAACACGACTCCCACGCACACTATCACTGACAAAACCTTCGACTTTGGCATCGCGGAAATACTTGCTGGCTGACGAAAGACACACTTGGGTTTGGAGAGTAAAGTTCCCGGGGAGACTCATTGCCATTCGCAGGTGTTGCCCCCCGTGGCTCTCCTGCGTCCAAATCGGTTTTTGTTTTTAGCAAAGGAATTCAAATCTCTCTCTGAAACATTCAGTTCAAAATAAACTAATATAGCTTGCCAAAATTATTAATGTATGAATTACATAATGCAGAACTAGTGATGTACTTTGCATATCGTGTTACGCTTGTAGAATCTATATTTATATTAATTAATTTCTTCACAATACAAAACTCAAAGGCAAGTATACCTGATTCATACTTTTTCTGCGTTTGTCATAATGTAACATAATGAATAATAAGTTCACAATAGTATTTCTTTTGTTTAAATGCATTAGATTTTGAAAAAATCAGATGCGGTAACTGAATTTGAGTCAATTAAATCATCTTCATTACAAATTAAGGAATGTCACCATTGAAAATCGAACATGTGATCAAATTTTGCCATGGCCGTGTATTTGCTACAATGCAACGCAGAAATTAAGAATTAATGTACGTGTAAATTACTCATACTAATATATTATGCGAGTGTGATGTATTCCAGATGTTCACCTTCTTCACTTTGACTCTTCTCGTCTGAACTCTTCTTCAGGGACAGTTTGTGAAGTAAAATGTCGAAGAATATATTTAAGCACGTGCGTAATTAGAACTCTATGAATAACTCACAAATGATATGTAAAATTTAGATACATATTTGCATGGATAAGCTGGTATGCATGTAAGTATATATGAATGTGTGTATGCGCGCGTGTGTGTGTTTTCTTATGTACGTAATCCTATATCTATAATTTATCTATCAATTTACTTATATTCATCTATGTATATGATAATTTTTTGTGATTTTTTAATCAGCTTTTTCCAACTAAAAATATAAAAGTATATCCGAAGAAACGTTTAACATGAGACCATGTGACATTAATGAATAAACAGGGTTTAAAGAATGGTTTTAATAACACACCGGTACATGTAGACTAAAAAAAAAAAAAAAAAAAAAAAAAAAAAAAAAAAATAGTTGTGCTAGATTGACCCGTTGTCAGCGCGCTTTCTTGACTGACCTGTCCGCCAAATACATTTACTGTTTACTACACAACAAAATTTCGTTCTTCAGCCCCTACTGTAACTTTCTTCAATTGATTATAAATGTTATTCGGTTTCTCTGTTTGAAATCTGTTTGTCCAAGATCTTAATAAAAAGAAAATTTTAATAAAAAAAAAAAAAAAAAAAAAAGTAAATAAGAACAAAAAATCACCATTGAACCGTCAAATATGTCCAAGTTCAAAATAAGATCAACCAGTTTTTAACCGAATATGGTGAAGAGGTATGTAGTTCACACTTAAAAAACGATATTGACAAACCACAAAGAGTTCAAAGAGCAGCCACAAGATGGACACCTACTCGAAGAGATACGAGCTACATATTTGGAAGAAAGAAGGAAAAGGGGTGACATTATGCTTTCAACTATGTTACAGGAAGAGTGAAGTAAGATAAAGATGATTCTATAATTCTGAACACAAAAAGGACGAGAGGACACAGTAAAAAGTTGAAAGGAAAAAGAGGAAATGAAGATTTCAAAAAATCCAATTGTAAGCAACGCTCTGATTCTGTGGATCCTGTTTCTATGGATTTCACTGAAGGTGCTACACGAGGATCACATGAAGGGGCAAATTTAGGAGCAGGTTTGACAAGATTGCATGGGGGTGGGGGTGGGGGTGGGTTGGGGTGCGGAAGTAGTCATATTTCAATATTTTGTTTAATATTTTTCATGGTGTTGCGATTTTCATTTTAGTCTTTAAACAGAAATCTATTAAATTATTGCTTACCTAGTCGATGGGGGATTATGGGAACCTTGGTCGCCATACTGTTAATTTTGTTTCCTACAAAATCTATTTTAGGAAAATTAAGGGGTATGCTTTATTTCAGGGGAAGAGAGTTGCCCCCTGTAGACCGCCTCGAATTACCCCTATCAATAATCAATATCTATTATCTTCCATTCATTTTTCCCTAACTATCTGCGGAGTATGTTTGATATTCAGACCAAAACACGAAGGCCACTGCAGTTCCCTTGAAAAAATGAACAAAAGAAAGTTCAGAGCAGACTTTACATAAATTAAGGTAGTTATATCGCCTCTCTTTCTTTGAATTTTCCCTTTACAAAGTGTATACAGTGAGTGCCAATCTAATCTTTGACCGAAATAACGACATATCAAGGCGTATTCCAGAAATCTTCAGGCAGGTCATAGCCAAACATCTTCATATCTACTTGATAGATATTATATAGTTTCTCCTTCAGCTCCAGCGGAAGAGTTTTGTAGTACCTGTAATACACAAAGTTTAATTAGTGAAACAAGGGAAAAAATGAAACTTTTGCTTGTTTTTTATTTCTTTTCAGTTGTAAATGTGTCTAATTATTGTTATTCTTTTTGTTACTATTATTATAAGTATTCTATTATCATCACTTCCATTATCATTATTACTAGTTATTGTTATATTGTTATAGTTATTAGATTTATTACCATTATTATTTTTACCAGGCTGCCAGTCTGTACATTATTGCTACTTATGGGAACAGATAAGGACTCCATAACACGTCACACCAGTTACTCAAGGGTTTTGGCAGACGCAAGCTTCAGGGTTAACGAGTCAATGAGTCCTTGGGGGAATACCTCTTATCTATGAACGCCATACCACTCATGGGCAAAATATTCATAGTCTCGTTAAATTAGACAGTGATATCAAACAAGGCCTCTCTTAGGGAGACTGTTGTTATATATGGGGATAATTCAGGCTCAAGTCTGAGGGGTGATGGTTGTGGTTCAATGGAAATATATAATCTAGTCATTAAAATTTGGGTTGCAATTTGAACCAGTTTTAATTACTTTAGAGTGAAGGGAATAATCAAAGCGCTTAAAATGGATTAAAGTTTATGGATCAACTCAATCCATGGGAATCAATTGTGAATCACTGGGTCGACTGGATTACCTGCGATCAACCGTGGATCAACAGAGATCAACTGTGGATTAACTGGGTCGACTGGATCAAAAACGTTCAACCTTGGATCAACTGTGGATCAACTAGATCAAGAGGGGTCACCTGAGGATCAACCAGATCAAGAGGGGTCACCTGAGGATCAACCAGATCAAGAGGGGTCACCTGAGGATCAACTAGATCAAGAGAGGGGTCACCTGAGGATCAACTAGATCAAGAGGGGTCACCTGAGGATCAACCAGATCAAGAGGGGTCACCTGAGGATCAACTAGATCAAGAGGGGTCACCTGAGGATCAACCAGATCAAGAGGGGTCACCTGAGGATCAACTAGATCAAAGAGGGTCACCTGAGATCAAACCAGATCAAGAGGGGTCACCTGAGGATCAACTAGATCAAAGAGGGGGGTCACCTGAGGATCAAACCAGATCAAGAGGGGTCCACCTGAGGATTTCAACTAGATTCAAAAGAGGGTTCACTGAGGATCAACCAGAATCAAAGAGGGGTCACCTTTCCAGATCAAGAGGGGTCACCTAGGATCAACCAGAATCAAGAGGGGTCACCCTGAGATCAACTAGATCAAAAGGAGGGGAGGATCAAACTAGATCAAGAAGGGGTCACCTGGGAATCACCAGATCAAAAGGGGGGTCAACCTGAGAATCAAACAGATCAAGGGAGGGGTCACCTGTGGAGATCAAGAGGACCATGAGATCAAACTAGATCATAGAGGGGGGTCACCTGAGGATCAACTGAGGATCAACAGATCAAGGGAAGGGGTCACTGAGATCAACCAGATCAAAGAGGGGTCATGGAGGGATCAACCAGATCAAGAGGGGTCACTTGAGAATCAACTCAGATTCAAAGGAGGGTCACCTGAGAATCAACCCAGATCAAGAGGGGTCACCCTTGAGAATCAAAAACAGAATCAAAAGAGAGGGCGGCAAACCTGATGTAGGATCAACTAGATCAAAGAGGGGTCAACCTTGAGATCAAAACTAGATCAAGGGAAGGGGGGTCACGCTGAGGATCAAACTAGATCAAAGGGAGGGGGTCACCTGAGGATTCAACCAGGGATCAAGGAAGGGGTCAACCTGAGAGGATCAAACTAGGTATTTCAA